AGAACAAATATGAAAAGAGGACTCAAAGCAAAGACATTGATTGTGAGCTCCATGAGAGGAGGAGATAATTTTCCACAATGCCTAAAGTATGTCCAACTTTCAGGTGCAACTCTATAGAGAAAGGGAAGTGCAGGAGAATTGAAAATGTGTGTGTATGTGAAGAGGAAGAGGAAGAGGAAGAGGATATGTGAAAATAAAAAGAGAAGGGGGTGTTGTTTTATTTACCCATAATCACTCAAACTTGGTAAGAACCTGTGATAAGAAATTCCTTTTTTTACAAATGATTGTTACACATTTGGCATATTGCAATTGATATAAACTCTTACTAAACTAGATTTTTTATTTTCCAAATATATCATTAAACACTAACAATTACTTTTTCTTTAAAATACTATGAAAGATAATGTAAATATTATTTGGGAAAGAAAGAGAAGCTAACGTAAATACTATACATCCAATTCTGGTACTAAAGAAAAGAATCTAGAGGCAAAATATTCAAATATGCTTATACATATATAAGTTAGGAAAAAAGACTTCTCATATTGCATGAAAAGTCTCTTCTTCTACCACTCTTACTTTAATATCCGTGCAAGCTATTTTTCTATTTTTTATTTTTTTCAAGATGGGTCCACTCCTTTCTCTCTCAATAGGAAGCTTCATCTTCTCATGGAACATGAAAAGTTGCAAGCTCTATAAGTTATCTTTTTAAGTTAAGAATTTTTTTACCTCATATTTTATTTTTCCACTTTCTCAGTTTCTATTCAATTTATTTTTCAAGCATCATCACTGATTTGGTATATCAATAAACCAATCTCATGTAGCACCAATTTCCCTTCTTTTTTTAATTAAGATTTAGGTGGTATGTTTTTTACACTTTTAGTCCTAGTCAAAGTGTCGTATATATAATTTCAAATTGAATAGAAAGTGAAAAAAAAGATGAGGTAAAAAAAACTAAGTGAAGTGATAACTTAAGATTGTGTAAGTATAATTGAAAATTTGCCTCTAGATTCTTTTCTTTAATAGTGAAATTATAGAGGTTTCATATATTAATTTAAATTAAAGATATGTATAGGTTGGTTAAGTATCCTGAAAATTCTTCATCTAATTTAAGAACATGTGCGTATGAGTTACTTACATTTTAAAAAATGTGTATGAATTTGAATTCCGTCGGTTAGAAAATTTCTTGTATGTTAAAATGAATGGGTAATGAAAAAAAGTATAATTTGATGAGATATATTAATTAATTTATCTAAAAGTATAGGTCAATGTAACAGTGAATTTTTAAAACAACCTATAGAGATAAATATTTTTTTGGGATTATAGCGTAATCAGAAATTTAGTCTCACCGAAAGAATAGGCTAAATATATTCATACATACCAAGAAAAAGAAAGAGCTTGTCTTTGGTGTACCGGGAGTTTGTGTTCCTTTTCCAAAAATAGGAGAAAAAAGGATTGTGAGAGAATTTAGAAAGAAAACAGGAGTATAAATGAAAGAAAATATTTTCTTTTTTGATAAAGGACCACCAAATTCATCGTGATCTAGGACCATATTAAAAATTTTTCAAAAAAAGGGACATGCTAAGGGAAGATTAGAGTATGGATTTTTAAGGATTGTGAGGCTCCCGACCACTTGGTATCAGAGCCTAACACCGTGTCATCCCTGATTACAGGCTCCCTGCCTGATGAAGGCAGCTTTAAGGAAACTCTTCGAGTTTCTTTCAGAGAAAGGGTAAGTATAGTAATAATATTATATGAGGTGAGTAAGAGAGGAACTTCTCAATTCATGGATAACACAAACACTGAAAATACCCAGCCTATTGTGCTACAATCTTCCATGTCCCTTCCTAAACACATATGTTGGACATTTAGCAAGTGCACTAGTCGTACAAGTAATAAAATGATGAGTAAAGATCGTTCCCACGAGGAATTGTGTTCAAACACCAATATACCATAGAAAACTAATTTGAATCAAATAAGAGTTTGTAAAAATCATGAATAATTTGTCACCAGAAAATTGATTGTAAGTAATTTGACACAAATTAATAAAACAACAAGTAGTCAGAAAACAACTTTCCTCCATAATAACCCATGTAAAAAATTGATCATATGATGAATTCCTTTCCATGTGATGTTAATCAACCTTTTACGTATCATCAAGATGTAATCCCTTACTACCCTGATAGATACATTAATCAGAAACCCCAATCCCTTGGTGATCTCTTTCTTAATACATGCATGAAAAACTAAAGTTTTAAGATTACATCAGAATTCTCGCATCAATCCCTTGAGTACTAGAATTCTGATGTTGAGATTATCAAATACAGAAGTCATATAAACATCTCTGTTCTATACTACTTCCTTGATAGAAATAATTAACTCAGAAAATCTCAAATCAACACATGAAAAATACTTCATCATATTAATCAAATCAACATAATATTATCATGGAGTTCCATTGCATTCAGACTACAAAGACTCTACTCAGACATGACTAAAGAATAGATAAGAGAAGAAGAAGCAAACTTCATTCCCATGTTGAAAGTCTTCAATCTTCAAACTATTACAAAGAAATCCTAATACAAAAACTAAAACTAAAGAATTTAGAGAGAAGTCAGACTAAAATTTAAGAGAGAGAGAAAGTTCAGATCCCTCAGATCCAGAGCTTTTTCTAAGTGTCAAGGCTTTGCCTTATATAGTGTTACAATTAAAAACAGAAAACTGATGTGGGCGCTAAAACGTCCATAAGTGACCGTTTTAGCGTCCATGCTTTACGTATGCTCAACTGCTTTTAACTGATTCCAACGCTAAAACTCTTGATTTGGACGTTTTAGCGGTGAAGACCAGAATCCTTTTTCCACTTTAGGGAGCTAAAACGCTTATTGCAGGCCGTTTTAGCGCCCAAGACCAGCAATTTTCCATCTTCTAAGTGCAGCAGCGCGCTAAAACGCTCTGTGTGGGCATTTTAGCGCTCATCACCAGCAAGTTTTGGCCTCTTCCTGTAGCAGGGCGCTAAAACGCTTAGTGCGGACGTTTTAGCGCTCAACACTTAGGCAATTTTTCTCCTCTTGAGCTCCAGAATCTTCTTCCTTTTCCAGTTGTCTTTCAAGTTTGCTTTTCCTACAAGAATCATACAAATTTCCAATAAAGCTCTTGAACTTGTAATTGAGGACATCTTAGGACATTAACCTTGTTTTTCATCATTTAATCACACAATTTGATCCTAATTCCTGCTAAATATCATGATGAACTAAGGGTTCATCAACATACCCTAAAAAATATCCTTAAAAATAGAAAACCTTATAGAGTACTCTTATGTCCCTGAAGATGCAAAGATCCTTGAAACAGTACCACCGTTGCTCAGTCCTTATAATATTTTCAAAAGATAGAGATCTGTGTTTAAATGTTTCACTAAGTTGATCTCCACCAGGAGACCAACAATGAAAGAATATGTCCAATCTTCCAGAATGGATCAGTGTGAACTACATGCCACTTCTCAAGAATAGTATGTAGATCTGGAGATTCCTACTGAGTTAATTACTCACTGGAGGCAAGAAGGCTATACTGCACTTCATTTTGGTGCAATAAGACTAATCCTTTCACTCCATGGAAGGAAAGGTTTACCAGTAACAGCTCGAATCGCTCTGCTAGATTCTAGCTTAATCCATTATGAAAATGCTGTTATTGGAACTGTGTTGACGACTCTTCATGCGAGAAGTGTGGTTTTAACCATCTTCCAAATTATAATGTGAGTCTGAAAGATAGAGCCTTGCCAAAAAGGTTGAAAGTGCAGATACAACTCAGATGAGCTGATTAGGTATCTGAGGCGTATGCAACAACTCTTCACCATCAGATGATCTATAGACTTCAAGATCATGTTGTGGATCTTCTTCAGCTGCCTAATAGACACATTGATGCTTTGTTTGTCATGGCCAAAAATCCAGAAGATACACCTTCAATCATCCAGATTCCGAGAAAGATATCTCGTGAAGAACTGATAGAGTTGATTCCCTTAGAATGACTGTCTAATTATGAAAAGATTCATAAAGCCAGCAAGCCCATCCAGTCCCATGAGGCGAGTTTCAGAAGGTCTGTTGATGGAACTGTCAAAACGATCTTCAAGAATCCTGATGCAGTAGCCAGCAGTTCTACTCTTCTTATTTTTCAGTCTATGATGATATCTCCATGTTATATTGCAGATCAGATCTCTGTTCATGGGATAATGCCAGATGGATCTTCCATCTTTACTGATTGTATTGATGGTCATTTCATATGGGATGTAGATCCTAATATGTGTGATCCTGAGTGTGATTGTTGGATGCACACAGAAGATACTTCAGATGAAGAAGAAGACAAAGAAGAAAATACAAGGAGTCGTAGGCGTTGCAAATCACCTCCTCCTGTCCAAAGAAGATCTGACCCAGATAATGGTCAGTGGGTAGGTCTTAAGACACAGAAAAAATTTGAACCTCTTTGGATCTATAAGAGACGTTTAGAAATTCTGAGAGAAGAAGGATCTTCCACCAGAACCACCAAATAACCCTGAACTCTTGACATGGTCACCAAAAGATACCTTCTCAAGATGCCAGCCTGGACCTCTGTAAACCATCCAACCAATACCTTGCATGATGTTTTCACAAAGGGATTTTCCTCCTTTAGAAAGTCATATCGACCCAACCACCAAAATAACCACCAAGCCTATGATTACTCAAGGAGAAGTCCAACCAGATGGAAAGATGAAGCCGTTAAGCCAAGCTGAAGAAGTTCTTAATTGGCAGACTGAGAATGCTTATGCCCAGAATTCTATTTTGGAGAAACTTGATTCTAAGATTGAAAAGATTTATAATCAGATGGATACTGTAGAAGACCGTCTGCAACATCTTTCAAAAAAGATGAGAAAGCATTATGAAAAGAACATGCAGCAAATTGCGTAGCTTGAAGAAGTCAGAAAGCTAGGCTTTACTCCAGAGGCCAACATGAGAGATAGGGAAATAAGGAGACTAATGGCAGAAATTCAAGATCTAGAATGTGTCATTGAACAAAACATCATATCTCAACAAAAATCAGAACCAGTAGAAAGCTACAACCTCTTTTTGCCACCTCCCATGCCAAATTATTATTCTCCTTTCCAAAAACCACCAGAATTCTGGACTAATCCACATCCTCCCAAACCTTGGACTTTTCCAAGTAGCCGGCCTTATGACCAAAGAATCAGAAGAGAAAGAGGAAAACAACCTTCTACTTCTAGAAGACATTCATCTAAAACTAGAATGGATATAACCCCTTCCTTGTCGTCAGATTCTACAGACCATAGATATAATCCCAGCTCTTCAAAAAGGACTTTTGTGACGGTAGATCTCAAAGATCAATTAGCCACAATCAGAACAGAATCCCAAGATACAGATGAATCCCAATCTTCTGAAACAACAGAATCTTTCTCAAACACTCAGAGTTCTAATTCCTCTGAGATTTCTTCCAAAGAAGCTTTTGAATTAAAACTAGATCATCAAACTTCTTCTGAAACCACATCTGAAAACTCTGAAAAAGAACAATCTGATGAAGTGTTAAACTCCTCTGATCTTTGAAGTGCGCTGTCGAACCCACGCAAATTACCGAGCTAGGTTTTGTAGTGATAGGGAAACTCGTATCGTCTCCTAAAGAACCTGCTTAAAATCAGAAACGCTCTGTGAAATAAAATATAAAAGGGAGGGGGGGTTGTTGATTAAATTAAATAAAAATAGAATATAAAAAGATAAATTTGAAATCATAAATTAAAAATAACCAACCTAAGGTTGTGATTCCTAGGACGTCTTTCCTCAGATAAAAAGATATCATACTCGTGATTGATTGTCAATTGAATCAGAATCCTTATTTTCAATTGAGAACCCTCTCTAAGCGATCGCTTAGCGTTTGATCAAATACGGTGCTTCTACTCATACAATCGCAGAGTATCAGCCCGTTGATTTAAGGTCATAGGGTCAATCAATCTAATCATCAAATCTGATGATTAATCCCTTTTCATAATCACAATCACGAACCTCAGATTGAATATCCATAATCGCACGATATCAATTTGAGTTTGGAAGGGAAACATAACTGATTTAAACAAAGCGCAGATCCTAGTGACTAATCCATGGAATCCGCTACTCTTAGGTTGACTAAAGGGTTCTTAGCCTCACATGGCTAAGGTAAACATAATTAAAAATTAAAAGGAACAAGAACACAAGAAGAAGAAGAAGAAGAAAATTGAATTGAAATTTCAGAGAAAACTTTGTCTGTCGTCAAACTCCTAAAGTTTTCCTTAGATAGCCGTCATTCGAAACGGATTAGGGTTTCACCGCTTCAGCCCATACATAAAATAAAAACTGAATAAAATAAAATAAAACATTAAAACATGGCTTTGGGCCCTAAACACAATGGGTCCTAATCTGAATTACAAGTCCAAACGTCAAAATAAAATTCTAGCAAAAAAACGTCATCTTGGGATCAGGTTTCGGCCATCTTCCCGTCCGAATTGTGCTTCAGTAGCTGAAAATATAAATTGTAGCACTATATGTTAGCTGCAAAACACAACAAGAACGGAGTCAATCAGACATCTGTAGAGTGAGATATAGTCAAAATACAAAAGTAGTGTAAATATGGAAAATTATGACGAAAATCAATTAAACTCAATCAAAATCTAGAATTCTGATTTGACCCAAAAGACCTTTATTTAATTCAAATAAATCATAAAAATATCAACCAAGAGTAATAAATAAGTGTAACAAAATATGTGTTATCAAATTCCCCCACACTTATCTTTTTGCACTCCTAGGCAAAAACCAAAATTGAAAGCAAAGACTAAGATCAACCAATCCCTTCTAACAATTATCAAGCATACAGGAAATATACAAAGATCACAAGTCTTCAACACATAAATCAATCAGGACAGAAATTCCTTAATCTCAAATCACAAGACCTGCTAATTTCAACTGTACATGCCAATTACATAAAATGGTTCCTTGCAGGATGTTCTCAATATTTTTCTCTCAAGTGTATCAGGTAATCAATGTATCACTCAAATCTACTCAAGAAAATCATTCTACCATAGGCTTGCTCAAATTCTACTTCTCCACTGCTACTAACACATGCATGCACAAATCAAGAGGGCTTTATGCAGGGTTGTAATGGGGCTAAGGTGAAGGTATGTATAGCAATATGGAAAAGAAGGTTAAACACCCCAGAAATCTACAAGAGCAAAAGTTAAGAACTACACAAAGATAATGAAAAGATAAAAATAAACACATATTTTTTTTTGTTTTTTTTGGTTTTTTTTCAATACATTAAAATAGCATAGCAGAAAAGAATCAGATGGTCACCCCCCACACTTAAACGTTTGCACGCCTCGGGCAAATCCCCACACTTAAACACAACATCACAGTGAAAACCATTGCTCAATAAATCTCCAGAGTTTGGAATTAATTGGTTTTTCACTTAGGCTAGTAATGTGGGTTAAGAAACAAAGGATATAAAGGCACAAAGGGGCTCACCAAAGGATAATAATGTAAGGGACGACTATCTGGCTAAAGTGGGTAAAGAAAGAAAGAAATGCCCCAATCATATTCATGCATGTAAGTGAAAAATGCAGTTTCAAAAAGAATCAGAGCAAGTTCTGATGTTGCAAGCTGGCCAATCTATGTTTGCAGATTCTGGATGGAAGACTCAGTCCTCTGCTGGAACTGCAGATTATTAGTTGCCATCTGCTTCACTAAATTCTCCAAAGAAGGACCATTGCTACTGGCTTGCTGCTGCATTGGTGGCTGCTGCACTTGCTGTGGAGGTGCAGATTGTTGGAAATTCTGCCTTTGCTATGAGGGTACAAACTGCCGCCTCTGCTGGAATGGTGCAATTTGTTGATTCTGGCTCAATTTGAAATTTGGATGATTTTTCCAGCCAGGATTATATGTATTAGAGAAGGGATTGTTTTGCTGCTGTTGCTGGTACTCTGGCTTTCCCGGAAAAACTGCAGCAACAGACTGATCAACTTGGAAAACCGTTGTCTTGTAAGGAAGGACAAGCATCCGTGGGGTGAGAAGGATCACAGTAGATGCCACACGGGTTCCTTATCTGTTGAGCAGAAGGTTGCACTGTCTGTGTCACTGCCAACTGCCTCAGCATTGATGTCAACTCATCAAGCCTGTTCTCTATTCTCTAGTTATCTGTGGTTGATGCTTCTGCTGCTGCCACTATTGGATTTTGCATTGAGAAGCTTGACTTGGAACACTGCACTTAGGGATGTGCAAAATGTCCAAAAGATCCAAACCGATCCATAACCAAACCGAACCTCACTTAAAAAACTAGTTTTTTCTAAAACTAATTTTATGTAAAACCATATTTTATATTTTATATCCGTTTAGTTACCGATCCACAAAAAATAATTGGATATCCATTTATTTTGGATATCCATATTTTATAAAAAAATGGATGCTTCAAAAATGTTGTTGTGGTTGCTATTGTCATCCGTTCCACCATCGTCCCTATAAGTATGTTCCATTTTATATCTATTTTTTTTTCTTGATAAATACTGGACAGTAAACTTGGCTCATAATATATTTTAGGGTTGATTCTGTTGAGGATTTTTTTGTGAAACTAAATTAAAATGACTAGTGAGAAAACTTCGTAGCCAAACTCAAGCCAGAACCATGAAAAACATAGCCGGAGTTAATTAAGGTACCCAAAACTAAGCAAACTCAATAGCAAAAAAGTGTTTCTTGTTTAGAATTCAAGTGATTCATCACAATACCTTCCACTGAATATCTAAAAGTCAATAGTAATGCTAGCTACGTTTTACCTGAACTTGCTTTTAACATTCTTGTTTAGAGTTACATGTAATACAGTTTATGGGAAAGTTACTAAAATCGGTTTTAATTACATTATGAATTAAAAGTTTAAAACTATTATAAAATCGGTTTCAATTTCTTGAATTCATTTAATTACATTATGAATTCATTGATTTGCATCCTATTCATTCAAAAAATTTTTTGTTATAAAACTGGTTATAATCTTGATAACCGGTTTGTGGTTCATAACCGGTTTTGATTTAAAACCAGTTTTGAATTAAAACCAGTTTAAAATCGATTTTAAATCAAAACTGGTTATGAACCACAAACCGATTTTAAAATCGATTTTAAACTGGTTTGGACAAATTAAAAATCAGTTTTTTTTTTAAAAAAGTGGTTCGGTTTAAAATCCAAACCGTCTAAAACTGGTTTGGTTCGGTTTTTGGTAATAACTGAACTGAACCGCTCCATGCACATCCCTAACTGCACAGCTGTTTGTTCTAGTGCCAAATTGTTGAGCATTGGCCGCTATCTCAGCAATCAACTCTTTTGCCACAACAGGTGTTTTATTTCCCAAGACTCCTTGTAACATCCCGCAAAAATTAGGAAATCACATAACTTGTAATTAGGGGTGTGCAGCATGCTTGAAACTCGAATTAAAATTATGTTTAGAGTGGAACTAATTTAATTAGGAAAATCATTTTAATGGAAATTAGAATTCAATACTTATGTAATTTTAAGAATTCAAAACACTAGTTAGAAAGGGATAATATTATGCTTAATCACAATATAAGTAGGAACCCTAGTTGCTACCTAGAGTAAAAATGGAATAATAATTATTAGAAAAAGTATTTAAAGTACAATTTGGGAGGGGGACGTATGTCATGAGATTGAACTGCATGTAAGAGTAGGATGGGGTTAATTTTAAGTGTCACCTACTATGAAACCCTAGTTACTACTTGGAAATTATTATGAGCTAATAGGTACATCAAGAAATTAAACATGAGCCCAATTTCCTGCCCACAAGCGACGGCCGAAGTCCATTAATTGGGGGAGTGCATTCAGCCCAAGCTATTTCTACCAATGAACCATGAGTTATCTTACACAAAATCTGCATTGCTACTCTTGATTGGTCTAGGAACAAAAACTTATCCACCTTATCCTTCCTACACGTATAATGGAGACTAGAAACAAGCCAAAAACCCTTGCTGGCCGTTGTGTGTTGATTAGTAACCAACCATATTTCTTCTCTTCTTCCTTCCACAACCGAGAGTCATGGAGAAACACCACAACACATGAGCTGCACTCTGTTCTTCTCTTCTTCTATTATTCGAATACTTGAAGTCAGCCTCATCAGCCCTATGTGCGTTACTGGTGGGACCCCAAGGTTGCAGTTTTATTATTTTATTTTAACCAAACTCAGCCACTTTTCTTCTCAACCGTGAGACACACCAGATGAATACCCAAAACCCAACTTGTATTCTTTCCTTCCATCCACTCCATTTCACCACCTAAACCGTGAGCTTTCATGAGATGAACCTCCATTCAAGTCTTCTTCTCCTTCCACATTGGTTCGGCGATGTGCAGCAAACAGAGGGGCTGCCACTTGAAATCACCATCCATTCTCCTCTCTTGTCCAGCCGAAGCTCAACCTCAAGGAGGTGAGTATGCGCACCATCCTGCCCTGTTTGAGTTGTTCTGGCCATTGCATGCAGCTGGATCGGACCCCTTTGGAGCATGAGACGATGAGGATGTGTGTATCCCTT